TATGTTGTTTCGTTGAAAGTCCGTATGTATGTCATAACACAACCACGAAACGTTATAAATGGCTGTGATTGAACGCCTAAGAGCTCTCATAATGTCAAAAAATTCAGATACTGAAAAAAGGTCCATTGATGCTGCAGTCGAATGCATGCGAAAGATATTGTAACGTCATTACTATTCATTAGTTTGTTTTTTTTTGAAATTGATCATTATCATTTTTTTTTTATCTGAAAATATTTCTTTTCCCTGTTCTTGTAGAAAATACGACAAGACTACAACGAAAATTATCTGCAGTTCACATACTTTCCTAGAATGATCGAAGGCACAGTGCGATCGTACTAGGCGGCGCCCGGTCAAGATATTGGAAAGTGATTACTTAATATTTTAAAAGTCAATACAATATATTTTAATCACCTTAAAGTTCCAATTTTTTTTAAATATTTTTAAGGGAGTTCACTTTTTATTCTAGATGAGAAATGACTACACAATTTATGAAGTATTACTTTTACATGTGTCATATATACATAAGGCCGCAGTTTATAGTATTTGCACGAAATCTGGGTCTCAGAAGATCTTGCCGATGATAGCCGAAAATGGCCGAGCATTTTTTTATAGATTCTTTTGTGATCTTTAGATTTCAGTATCTGTATCCAGTCACTAAATCCCACGTAGGATTTTCTGATAAACATCATCGTACAATCGAAATTCTTGGTTTGTTTCCCGCACATCCCTTCAGAATGTATGTAACTTGACCTCTGACCCTTGAACGCACGGCATGTAACGACTGAATTCGTTTCTTGTTAAAGGGTGGTAGTCCTCGCGCCTCGTTCTGTTCAATATGGGACTCATAGCGACGTATACAACGCATGTAAAATACATTGTTTGTTTACACGAAATTCGAACATGCGCTACGAGACGACCGCCGACCTTTAACGTTTTTAACAACAATGAAAAGAGCACATTCATATCTTATTTGAAACGTCAACACTGTTATCAATTGTTGAATACTATTCCGTGTGCCTGTCCATATAAATTGTCACCATACCTTGACGTCATTATCGGTGATTATTTACTCGCATACCAATTCTAATCATTCTCTAAGGGAATTCCAGATGCATCTGGCATAACACTGTCACTGTAATGATAAATGACTCGCAAGTGTTGTTCCGACTGATGATCGGATGACCGCATCTCAAAGTTACACACAGTAGTCGGTAGTAACTTTAAACAATACAATAAAATATACTTTGCCACAATACACAAAACTTGAATATAACATTGCGACATCGTGTATTTCGAGGCAATTAAAGGAGATTTTCCCCCAAATTATCAGTGCATTCCAAGTGAGGTATGTAAATAAAAGATACATAATCGTATTTTTTGTATGATATAATGAAATATACTAAACAATATCCAAGGGTCGTTATTGTTGGTCGACTTCGAAAAAGCATTTGATTTATAGGAATATTTTTTTTTTGGTTCTGACTTACTAGTATGTGCTGATGATACATTCATCATAATAGTACTCGATGATTTTACAGATCTTCAAACAAATTAAGAAAAACACACACTACTTGGTCTTGGCCAAAACGAAACCGAACAAATCAACAAATAGCAACTTAATGTGGACTGACGGTATTTTAAAGTTTAGGTATAACAATAAACACAAGCTGAACAATAAGTAAACAGCTGCTGAACATTTGGAATCAAAGGAACCTGACAACTAACTTTTTATCAAAAGTCTAATATTGCCAAAATTTAATTATTAATTCTTAAGCCTGCCTTTACCTTGACAAAAATAATAAAAAAAATTGAACAAATATTATATAATTTCGTGTGGAATAGTAAAGGAGACAAGGTTAGTAGAAGAGTTATGAACTCTTGGAGAAGTGAAAATACCATACTTAATGAACTTAGATGTCCTGGATTAAAAGATCACTCTCATCCCAAAATTCCAGTGCTTGGAAACAAATGTTTAACATAATGTTTTCTTTCTGTGAAGGAAACTCTGTTTGGAATTATAAGAGCAATGGGCTACGTACAAAATGCGATTAGGTTAGTAATGAATTTTGACGGGAAATAACAAACATACAGAGCACGGTGACAGATAATAATTGACAAATTAAAACAGCAAGGAACTATCTGGGTCAAACATTGTGGAACGATTAGGAAATTCAAAAAGGGAACAAAACTATATTTATTAAGCGGCACA